TGTACAGTACAACAGTTTAGATTATTATTTATAATAAATGGTAATAGGTACGCTGTAGGTACACGCATACTCACCTAACTACTTTAATAAATAATTAATATAAAGTAATACATGAGATTTACTTGTTTACATAAATTTCTTCACTAAGTCGAAAAATGATGCCATACGTCATAGAATATAATGTTTACAACTAGTAGTCACAGCCGAATACTTATAGGACCTTTGGCCTTATACGACTGCACTATAAATACTGCAGTAAATTTCTTACATATCAAAAAAAAATTGTGTTAATTTTGTAATGTGATTATTCATATGATCTCAACATTTCAATGGACTGCTATAGGTATACATTACCAGCTACTTTCATAATAATCAATAAAGTATATCGACTTTGTCATGAAGGCCTGTGTCAATGGAATTTTATAATTAGGGCGAGATTTATAGAAAAAAATGGACTGTATTCATCCAGAAAAGTCAGTGTGTCAAACCATGTTACCTAGACAGTAGGCTCTATCTGAAATAATATTAATACCTATAAAATAATGTTATATAAAAAAATCTTTATCAACGAAAAACAACATTTTAAAAAGACAGAAAATCCATAATACGAATGCTGTTTTAGACAAATTCTGGGCTCCGCACTCTTCGCAATAGGTACAATAGGTACATAATATATAAAATGCATACCATAAAATCAGTGGTGCCATTTAGGGGTGTAAGGGGCCTTTTTTCTTCCATTGAAATAAATTTAGAACTATGAGTATTTTCATTGCAACTATGATGGTAAATTTGTTTGTTGTCCATAACTGTGCCTGAATAATAACCGACCGCGAGAAAAAAAAGGATGCGACAATTTCAACAGTCAAAACACGGTATTATTAAGTAATATAATTCTGTTCATTTGTCACGTAATACCTGTCGATCAGGATTGAATAGTAATTTGGATTTGCACGCAAAACTTTTTTTTAGTGATGTTGTATCGATTTACATTGCAAATTGGAATAACTTCGAAATGACACGGAGAATATGAGAAAACACACATAATAATAATAATATATTGATGTGTATTAATTCGTTGTTTTACTTCCATAATTTTATTCCCGTAACTTATATTTTATATTAAAACAATCACAATTCATATAGATTATAGCCTCTATAGGTGTGTGATTATTTATGTGATTATCCGGGATCCATACATTTCACGAAAAAAACCCATCAAGACTATAACTGGCTCATGGTAGGTACTAGGTAGGTAGGTAGTAGAACTAGGTATCTAGTTATAGTATATCATACGGTATGTCGGATTTCATGTGTGTATAATATATTAATAAATAGTAAATATGTAAATTACGTATATTCATAAATAGGTCGGTATTATATTATAATGTACTATACTATTATGTACCTACATGTCTTCCTTATAGAGTATTATAGGTGTATACTATGTAATACTGTATAATAGGTACCTAATATTATATCATATTATGATATCATATGGCCATGATTATGGTTAAACAATATTATATCTCTGCATTTCTGCCATTTTTGGAGCGTGTCGAGCGTGTTTATGCCCTACGACCTACACAATAATATGATCATTTAGACATATTAGTATATTACCCAGTCACGTCGCCAACGTATCTACTTGATACAATAATATTATTATAACGGGATCCGAACACCAGACCGAATGTCCTCACGGACAACAGCCAATCTAATCTTTTGTGCCTCTCGCCAGACGCCCAAACATACATAGTATTCTGTATTTATAGCCATATGGGTGCCTGAATCTTAGAGCATACCCAGATTAATGGAAGGTGCACTTTCAGATGTCCTTCCACTAAAAATCCTCAACATTCAATACATTTTTGTCCAAATTTTGAATCGAACAAATGAACAAACGTTATTCCTAAAAATTATATTAAATCAAAATTCTTTTGCTTTTTTAAAATTGTGACTGATCTTCAGTGCCTACACTTAGTAAATATAAAATTATGTTTAAATAGTGTGGTTAACTTCCTTTAGCTTTAATAATATATGGGTAAAATACTAAATAGTAGAATTGTAGAAATAATAATATTATGAGACGGTTCCCCAGTTCCCCTACGTTTTGAGCAGAAGAACCTTCTGAGACAGTGGGTCATCTATTATTTTATTTTTATAATCACTCCGAGGCCGCATAATTCGTCATAAAAACAATGTATTCAATGATTAAAAAATACATGGTACGATTAAAATTTTTTTGCGGGCCTCGAGTAACGACAAAGCGAACCGCGGGTTGAAGACCCCTGAGCTCTAGCAGTAGACCTTATAGATCATATACCTAGCCACCTAGGTAGGTATTACAATTTATAGCCACCCTGGTATCCTACAAATATCTACGGTACCTTCACTATTTTAGTCTTCTTTATCAGTTTTCATTTATAATTTGATCTTTTTGCACCTATTTTAAGTGTAAACTTTTGATATTACACCAGCAACCAACTCTGCAGGCTAACAGTAACAAAGACAGATAATTTACTAAAACTCATTTAGAGTCAGTTTATTACAACTTCACAGCTTAAGAGCCACCTCCGCTTTCCACAGCTATCAACTAAACTATATACGACTACTATAGGAAAGACACGACTGTAAGTACAACGGCGACCCCCTATCTAAGACTAGGTTGTAATCAAAAGTAAATATCATACCTACTTATTATATACAAATCATAATATATAAATGTATAAATGTATTCTTGTACAGAACCCCTCCACTTTCTGAGCTATAACAACTATAGAATTACAGGATTAAAATATTGTCAGATTTATTAGATCTAAGGTAATAAGAAAAAAAAAAAGTTCTAATGTTTATTAATTAAGCCAATATTGATATTCCTAACTAGATAGAAAAGCACCAAATTACCTACATGCTAAATTCTAGATCACCTTGAAAGTAAAAAAATATACAATTAAGTATTACTACACCTACCATACATATACCATCTATAGTTAATACTATATACTCAATAGGTACAACTCAAGCTCAAACTTAATGGTGACAAGTGACATATTATCTTCTATTTCTTTCTGCACCAGAAGTATTGCGTAATCATTAAAACAGTCTCAAAACCATGTTTACGTCATGAAGCCGAAATAGCTCAGTTGGGAGAGCGTTAGACTGAAGATCTAAAGGTCCCTGGTTCGATCCCTGGTTTCGGCAGAAATTTTTTTGCGTTTTTTTTTTTGATATTTATTTGTCCATTTAAACCACTTACTGACATATAATTTATTATAATTATCTTTTATAGCTAAATTTTATTGATTTCGTTCATATAATTATTGTTGATGGATTGTTATTCAAATATAGCTATTAATTCGGATGATATAAATATTTTTATATGGAATAACCATTTCAAAAATAAGTGGATAAATAATAGTACTATTAAATAAATAAATAATATTTTAAAAACTAAAACTTCTAAGAATTGTAAATTATTAAGTAAATGATTTTTTGAAATTGAAATAACCAAATCTAAATTCAAATTTTGAATTTCTTAATTACTAAACTCTGTTTGGAAAATATGATGGAGCTATGGTCATTTAAAAATTATAGTATCTATTATAAATCTGTAGACATTTAATATGTTGTGTCAATCGTCTGAGTATAGGAAATAAATATTTGTTACACATATTTTATAGTTTTCTAAGTATACATATTACATTTTAATTATTCAGAAACTACTAGTTTAAATTTTGAAACAAATGGGAAGACGTGCTTGGTGTTTCATTCTGTATTATACTTATTTACAAATTATATAAATAGATAACTTTATTAAATAATATTAAATTTGCAATAAAAGTAGGTATATCGTACTATATGTACTACATTTCTAGGTATTAATATATAGGTAGTAATATGTTTGTCTGCATGGTTTTGAAGGCCAACTTTTACAAATAAAAAGAAGAACTAATATACCACCACTACTTATCGTCATCGATTAGATTCAAACAATAAATTCTGACTAAAAAAAATGTAAGAAAAACCATCTAAGGAATTTTATAAATATTTGTGAAAACGCCATTCCTTCTGGTCGTGTATGAAATTAAATTACTGAGTTATTTATTAGTTTATTACTTTACAAAGTGTAGTAAGCCCCGTTATACATTATTAAAGTTCAAAGCGTTCTAGAAAATGTCATAAGAATGTCATAGAACACGTGTGTAATGAAAGCCATAAATGACTCAACTCTAAAGATTTACGGGTTTTGACCATTAGTTCGGAAAGTTACTACAAAAACTAAAAGTACCTAGGTATATTTTTATTCATTGAAAATAGAAAATATTAACAATGTGAATTATAAATAAATAAAATATCAGCAAAATCGTTGTTTAAATAAGTACGAGACATAAGGATAAGGTCACAAGAATGAAGGAAACGTCTAGTGCCACGCTACTTCAGATATATTAGGTACTCAGCATTTTATTTTATTTAAATATGTAAAGAGGATACCACTGTGGCCAGTTTCTTTTGAGACAACTTACGAATAGGATTTCGTCCCTTCTGCTAATGTGTTAGAAACATCATTGGAAATAAGAGGGTATGGGTGATTTTAAAATTTTGTTATGGAATTGTTCATAGTAATGAGATAAGAGTAAAAATATTGTTTGGATGCTGAGGTGGTGCAGATATGGCGTGTGACCAGTAATGTACTAAGGAACGTTATCTGAGACGAAAGTTTATGAATTAGAATGATTGGAATAACCTTAAGTTAGATATTTTGGTAGACAATCAAAATAAAATGACATGGGTCAAAATATACAATATTATTTGTTGATCATATACCATGATCATTGGTCATAATATCACAATAATGAATAGTAAAATATATTTTCGTTTTCAATTTAGTAATAGAATATTATGAATATAACCTAAGTATATATTATTTGGATATTGGACACTGGTTTTGTATTTACTACTATTCTCCTTGCTTTTTTCTCAACAATGGTATTTTGTTTCAGGATAAAATATGGCACCTGTTGACAAGTCGACCGATGGATCCGATTCAGCAGACAAATCGGGCACGTCGGCACCGAGTCCGGCGATCGTCGAAAATAAGACAGTTGGCGGTACGTCAGCCCAGGGGCTCGACCAGTCAGCCAGACAGGGTACGCCTGTCCTGGACGGTACCGGATACGCCGATACGACTATGAGTTCTAAGCTAGAAAACGCAGACATCTCAAGTGAGTACACAACAACCTACACGTCCTACACGCTATATCCTATATAAAACCATGCAGTCATGTGTACTTGTGGACAGTTAAATAATAATGATGATTTCATCTTAGGTCTCGACGCTATTTTTCATTTCGTATAATTTATATTAACATTACTACTCCGTCAAATTTCAAAATAGGCGGCTGTTTAAGAAATGTACCGGAAAATGATTTATTGATATTTTCAAAAAGCGCCTGTCGCTTGCACGTATACCACCACCTAACTATATACGACCTTCGCCATTATAAATTATTATATTCCCATTGGTTCACGATTGGAAAAATAACTAAACACAAATGACACTTTTTAAATAATTTTACTCGTTTTATAGTTATGTCTATATAATACACGCACGTAATACATAATATTAAAAAATGTCAAAAAAGTGCGTGTCTCGCATTTTGCGACAGGTCAATAATACAAAGGAGGCAGTTTATATTGGAATGGCTTTTGCAGAAATCTTTATTGCAAGCCTTAATATATATATATATAGGTGGACCCTTAAGCCCGCTTTACTACCCCCTATACCTCCTCATACACTCGCACACGCACGGCACGGAGGCAAGTGCGAAATAAACATTAAACACAATATATTGCTATGTTAGATCGTAAATTGGACATAACGAATATATAAGTAGGCTACTACGTCATAAAACAGTGCTGTATTTTGCCTTACTGATTCCACTGAAATTTTATTTATGCGCAGAAACTAAACTCTCAGACAAAGATTTGAGGACGCCGAGCATACCGTTCATCACGTCCACGCCAAACACCTTGACTCCAACGGATAGTTCGGAAATGCCACCATGGGCGTCATGGTCTATAATAATAGGTAAGCAACAGTTTTCTGTAAATAAATGCAAACAAATTTACATATTTCGTAAAATAACTTCGTTAATTGAATTATTTGTACTCATATAATATTATGTGTGTATAGCGGTAGTATTACTAGCTGTCGGATTCGTGGGCTTTTGCATACACAGATTCTTCAGGAAGCGAAGAACAAAAGATGGCAAAAAAGGAAAAGGCGTCGTGGATCTAAAAGCTGTCCAACTATTGGGTTCGGCATACAAAGAAAAAGTAAGGATTTTAAACAAATTAAACAGCACAACCACAATGATCGGTTTTTGATTTAATTATCCCTGTTTCCACACTATTGTACAAAATAACCACATAAAATAAACTATAATCTTATGCGTTTAATAAATGGGAATGAGAACATGATTATAATCTGTTATTATTAGAATTTATAAGGTTTTTATATCCGATGCCGGTATAAACTATAAATTATTTTAATCCACTGGAAGTAATTTAAAAAATGACACATTTATAGATCTGTAACGCTGTAGCTGTATTTGATTAGGTATGTAATATTCGGAATTAAATCGGTCAAAATATTAAATTGTTTAAAAAATTCTATAATAAAATACGGAAAATGTCATACAAATCTATACAAAGTCTACTTACAACTCATAATGTAATAGAAAAACTTTCAACTGATAAACAAAAATAAACAGTTTACATCGCCGGAACTTCAATAATTTTGGTGATTTTTCAGATACAACCAGACATGGAAGAATTGGCTGACAACGCGGAGGAAATTGCGGAAGAAGGAGACAGTACAAAGGACGAGAAAAAGTTGGGAAGGTTACAGTTCAAGGTATAGCTACACAGTAATAATATGTCTATACATCCGAATTGTTTTCTAATCTGGTGGCATGGGGCAAAAAACCGATGCACATAATATTACAGATGGAATACGATTTCCAAGGCAACACTCTCTCCGTGACCGTGATCCAAGCGGAAGACCTGCCGGCCCTGGACATGGGAGGTACTTCGGACCCGTACGTGAAGGTCTACTTATTGCCAGACAAAAAGAAGAAATTCGAAACAAAAGTGCACAGAAAAACGCTGAATCCCGTCTTTAACGAAACATTCCAGTTCAAGGTACATTTTTATTCATTATTATAATTTTCTAACGTTATCAGTTATCACTTGTGAACGTACCCAGAATCAAATAATAATTACCTGCATAGGCCTAATCTGTCGTGCTCATGGGGTGGAGGAGGCAAGTGCTTTCTATAGTTTTATAGTGGGGAAATAGATAACCCCTTACTTTAAGTTTTAATTCGTTGAATATTAAAACATTTTTTCTAAAGCATTATGCTTGAACTATTTTCCTATGTGTATGTTATATAATTATTTATCATTAAAATATTTATATTATAATAGGCAGGTAGACTTACATATTTTTCACTACAAATTATAATACAATAAAACGAACTAAATATATTTTCACTATTTTTAAATTCTACAAGATTCAAAGACTACTTTATAAAGTTTGCATTCATAGATTTATATTGTTGGTAAATTAATTGAGTGTAAAAGGATTTCACTTCCACCCCTGCTATATTTTTAACCAGAAGTAGATAAAAAATATCTATTTTATTTTGTCCTTCCCCGGAAAAATACACTAAATTACTCCATTTCCTACCTATAATATAAGAGTGCTCAGTATCATTCAGTATCTATATGAGTGTATATAAATGCGTTGTAACCTGTAAGTATACATTATTTTATTTGTATTTTCTTTCCTTCGTCCCGCAGGGAATACCTTATGCAGATGCGATGAACAAAACTTTGGTGTTTGCCATTTTCGATTTCGACCGGTTCTCAAAGCACGATCAAATAGGAGAAGTTAAAGTGCCCTTGTGTCAGATCGACTTGGCCCAGACGATCGAAGAATGGAGAGAACTGCAGTCGGTCGAAGGAGAAGGAGGACAGGTCAGTAATAAAAAGCGATTGTGGCGAATTTTTTATGGGAGACTATATTGTATTTTAATAATAAGCTTTTCTTATATTGTTATATTGTTCTTGTCCATAAGCAACATATTATTATTGTTATTATTATTATTATTTTGTCGTACTAATTATGTACACGCAAAAGTAACTTATGATTTTTTCATGATAAGAAAACTTCATCGAACTCTATTGAAGTATTCCTCCGTCTGTGGGCGTTTCAGAATAAAATACTAATTTCTAACTACAACATTTTAAAGGACAAAGTATATTATTTTATTGTAACGATAATATTTTATTCCACTGTCAATGGATCATGATAGCCAATTAGCACAACTCTTTGTCAGTATTAATACCACGTGTAATTTTCCATACCTATCTACAGCGGACAGGAAAAAACACTATTTCATGGCTATTTTCATATTATATAGATAATATTAGTTTTATTTTCTAACTCATGTTTATTTTATATTTAACTATTGTTTGAATTTAATCCTTATTTTTATCTACTTAATTAATTCATTGGTTAATTTTGGGATCAGTGATTTTCGTATAAAACGAGCATGCAATACTTTTCTATTCTATATATTATTATATTATTACACACACATATATTATATGATATGTACAAATATACCTATATTTATTAGATATATTATAATATGTGTGTGTGTGTGTGGAGTGCAGTATATGTATATACGGTTTTTTTTTTAAGTGAACCGGCTATGTTTCAAAGAATATTTGTAATTTTCGTTTTATTATTGTTTTTTTATACTATATATTATTCTAATTTATTCGGAGTACCTACTACCTACTAAAGAAAGATAGAATAGTATATGGTTAAAAGTGTTCAAAGAAATAAAACTAAAATACAAATATTTCACAAACTATATATCTATAATATTCTGATGTTCGGTTTAAAAAAAAAACACCCTGTATATATTTATACTTACATTTATATTATATATACCTATATATTGTTGCAATATTTTATTTCTTCTTTACATCTACATTTTTTTCATATTATTATCTATTGTTGTTCGCAAGCATTGTATTTTGTTATTTTTTTCTGTTTGTATTGTTTTGGTTTGAATACAAAAAATCGACCCGATTTTTTTGGAACACGGTGCACCACGAAAACCAACAATGTAAAAAATATATACTCACGTAAGTACGACGGCCTCCTCAGCCGAAATATAGCCCTGTGTCATACCAAAATGTGTGCTGTGTCTCGTGTTTTTGTGGTGTTCTGCTAATATTATGATTTTTTATTTAATATTTTTTTTTTATATATATATATAAATATATTATATATACATCAGTTTTATATTTAAATCCTTTGTTTTCGATGTTCTAGGAATATATTTTTAGATATTCATGCGTTTGACAGTTTTTCTCGTTGAAAGAAAATGGACGTGACTTTTTCACGGTTTTTCCCTCGTTGACGACTAGCGTTGACGTTATATTCATATAATTATTGTTGTTGTTATGATCAAGTGTCGCGGACGCAGAGTTGGTATCAATGGTCTAAAGCTAAACGACCCCCGCCCCCACGAATGAACTTAATAAAAATAATTTGTACCTATCACTGCCGTTTACCATAACAGTATAATTGTTCCAGCCACACCGTTTCTAGCACATTTTGAATTACGGTTACCTAAGTGTCTGCTCGGATGATTCTTAATAATTGTTGCCACATTTTAAAACTAATACTATGAACAGCAATCTTTCTGTTATCAGTGATATACTCGGTGATATATTATAATTCCGTATGCAAAGTTGAGGGTAGCATGTTAATCAAACGTTGTTAAACAACCATAATTGTGTATACTTATATACTTACTTTACGTCTTTTACTCCTACATTATTTTGTACTTATGCATTTTTCGCAATTTGTAATTATTTTACGCATATATAATTTATTTCAAAGAACATATCTTCAAAAAATGTGTTCTTTCTAATATTTAGTAGGTATTTACACAAAAATTACTTAATTACTAAATACTAAATACTAAATACTTTATTGTAAATAACGCCATACTATTTGACAGTTGTCAACATATTTCAATAAAAACCCAAAATAAAGAGTTACCTATCTTAAGTTCTCATTTTAAAAACATAGTTCATTTCTTGATGTTCTAAGAACTTAGATAATCATAATATAAAAGTATAAAACATTACTAATAAAATGTATAATATGATACAATAACCAAAATATTCTATCAGTACCTACGTTGATAATTTTTGTTTACCGACACACATGGCGTCACGTTTCAACCGTTTTGCAATATTGAATGACGAGACGGCAATTAACTAATATTTTTCATTATCTAGCTGTGTTTTCAAATTTATTTTTATTGTTTAATACCGCTATATAATCAGACAGTTGCATTCCGTCCGAACGCAATACGAAATAAACAATTTCTATTTCAGCTGTTACTATTCAAAGCGATAATATGGGTCATGCGTGAATAAAAAACATTTAGGTAGGTATTTTATTAATTACTCATTGGCAGCGATGATAATATATAATATACAATAATTCTATATTAGGTAGACGTACTTTTCTGTCGAAACCCAACTAATATAAAATATTATACATTAGAAAACCAATAATTCAAACTGTATAACGTGTTACCCACAATATTGTTAATGAATATTAAATAATGACTAATGTACATCCATCGACACCGTTCGACCTTTGATACCAATGTCAAGTGTGAGCGAAACTATTTATACAGTAGTTCTCTGAAAACATGCAAATTTTCACGTATATATTGTTATGATCTAAAGGTTATGTTTTTGTACATAGACATTGAGTAACATTTACGTACAAAAACAGTGGTATGATATTATTTTAGATTTAATTAGGATCAGAGTAAAATATTATTAGAATATATATTATATAGTATGTATAATTGTGTTGTAGGTATTTTATGGCGCTGAATATAATAATAACTATATTACGCTAATTGTGTATAAATACGATGTGTTCATTGAGGATAAAATATTATTAAAACCATGTGGAGTACCGAAAGGTAAACCCAGGTGTTTTTCATTAATTAATATTTCGACAGTTCTATCAAGAAAAAAATGTACAATATTTTTTTGACTTTCAATTTAAGAATATTGTATTAACTTTACATATTATGCTTAAAAATATATAGTGTATTAATCAAAATTGAAATTTTTTTTTAATATTTTATTATAAAACGCGATATCGTATTGACAAAACCTGGACTCAAAAAACCCAGGCACAATATAGTGTGCATAGTATAATAAACGGAATATTAAGTTCTGTGACAAATAGCCTATAATACATATTATATATTATATATATTAACCTATAGTAAATATTATATTAATTATTTGTTGTTATACTAACATTACTGTTTTTATTATTATATTATATAGAGCAGTGGGTGCTAGACCTTATATAGCGTAGAATGTCAAAACACTTAGGTATAGTGGATACTTAGAATTTGAATATTCCAAAGCGTTTAAGAAATACAATAATAATAATAATATAACATCATTAGATTCAAAATTCACATCTAGTGGCACAAATCATTTGGAACATGCTGTATTACCTAGTACAAGTTCCCGTGTAAAAAATCAATTTGTTTTTTTTTTTAGAAAATTGGATTGTTTTTTTTTTTTTGTACCGATTCGAACGATTATACTTACAAACACGCCTCGAAGTTAAAACTATTTGTTTTGCCCTTTTTCAGGACAACAAGCTGGGAGACATTTGCTTCTCGTTGCGTTACGTGCCCACTGCCGGAAAACTCACAGTAGTAATATTGGAAGCTAAAAATTTAAAGAAAATGGACGTTGGTGGACTCTCAGGTAAAAACCATAAGACAAAACCATTGTCTGCAATCGTACAATAAGTTTTCTATACTCTCGTCATCGAAGTTTTCGCTAGTAGTTCATATGACATATATTATAATATCATTTTTGTGTTTTTTGTGTAGATCCGTACGTGAAGATCGCTTTGATGCAAAATGGCAAAAGGTTAAAGAAAAAGAAAACTAGTATAAAAAAATGTACCCTCAATCCATATTACAACGAGTCGTTTACATTCGAAGTGCCGTTCGAACAGATACAAGTAAATACAGCTTATATTTTCAACAGCTATAAATTATAATATGGTTAATATAGTTAAAATATAGAAATATATAGGTACTTATCTGGTTAATATCTACCTACTTAGGTATATAATGTAGGATTATAGGAAAAAAATTAAAAGCGCATAAGTCATGTATTACTTAATATTTTTATATAGACAAAACACGAAAAATTGTTCATTGGTAATTATTATTGTAGAGCTAATATAACTTAGTTTAATATTAAAGAAGTTTAAAAAACGACTCGCCGAAATTCAGCAGAAAATGGTAATTTTTTAACTGTGCCCCTGATTTTAAATGTCAAAACTTCGCTCGTAGAATCGATAAACCCATTTTCTTTTATTTATAACACGCCGGTTACGTAAATTATTGTATAATAGAAAACTTTTTTATTTCAAACTTCGTTGAAAAAAATTTAGTTATTTAAAAAATGTACCTACATTATGCATTACCTGCAACCCAAATTCAAGAAGTGCGGCTGTCGATTGGCGTTTTTAGTTTCCATCATAATTTCAACTTTATTTTTTTTAGGCTTCACTTTTAAAGTTCAAGGTGACGCTGCCTAAACAATTCATGAATTATTGTTTGTGAACCTAGTAATTTAAAATAGCCCACCTATATTTAATTTAAAATGTGGAACTGAAATAGTGAAATCGTTATTTTTATATTAATACTCTTTTGTGTTATTTTTGTTATTCTTTAAAACACAAATAATGGAATGTAAGGTACCTACCCTCGTGTGTACTTTTTTATGTAAGTTTTATGGTCACATAATAATTAGTAATACGTCAACTTCTATTTATTAACGGAAACCTCCTATTTTAACCATAAATTATTTTTCATGTGTTCGTGAATTCCAGTGATCAAACAAAGTTAGAAATTTCTCAGTTCAACAATGATTGTAATAGTATTAAAATGGCATTTTGGTTGTTAAATATATATTTATATGGACTCGTAACGTGTATAGTTATTTTTATTAATCGGTCATTTTTGCAGTTAATTATAATTGTAAACTTGGTGAAATAATTATTTTTTGGAATAGGTTAAGTTAGGTAAATATATTGGGTTTTGTTAACCACTAATCCATGCTAGAAACTTAACTCCACTAATCGCATCTCCAAATACTCATGTGTTTATAATTAATTACTCGTTCAAAATTGAAATTTTATGGATATAAATACTAAGAAAAATATTCCAAAATATAAAATTAAATTATATATTGATGATTTATGATTTATGCCGTCTTTAAAAAAAAAAATAAAAACTTCAAAAAATTTAATGATAAAAAATAGTTATTATTTTGATAGCAAAATATTATTTTTTAATGACTTAAAACTATCTAAAAAAAATTATATCCAAAAACGTAAAACTTTTAACTGAAAAAAATTATTATTTGCGTTTGAAACAATCACTTTTTAGGTAAGTTTAAATTATAAATTTATAATATATTCAACGGACTGTTTAATTATCCCTGTCACGGACACAATACTTTGATGTGGTTTTATACTATTTTGTAAGCCGACTATTATGATTTTAATTAAATTTAGCAGAGCTGTATGATAAAAATATTCGGTTACATACCCATACATCTTTAGAAGCTTTCTCGTTTCTATTCCAGGTGGCTATACGATATTCCACTTTATATGTGCGCCATTGTAAATTTGTTCATAACATAATAATATACTCGAACAACATGCGATAGGTATTTGATTACAGATTTGCGATACCTAGTCAATGTAAATTAACTCTCGTGATATTTTGAAGTGAAAATAATTGTAGTCTTTTACACCATGTTTTCATTTAAACATACATAAAACCTGCATTTTTCGTGTCAATAGTCAGTGGTTGAAATAAAAAAATCATTAATGTCAACATAGGTAGGAGAGACTATTGGCGGTCACGGGGTACCTACCCACTGTAACCAAATGATATGTAAAAAGAACGCACTCGGCGCATCCGAGCACTGATAACGATGTGGCGATAAAATAAAATGTGTACTATAATGTTGTCCGAATGCTTGCAGAAAGTCAACCTGGTAGTGACGGTGGTCGACTACGATCGCATCGGTACGTCCGAGCCCATCGGCAAAGTGGTGTTGGGCTACAATGCCACCGGCACCGAACTGCGGCACTGGTCCGACATGTTGGCGTCGCCGAGGCGTCCGATCGCGCAGTGGCACACGCTGAAGGATCCGGACGACGACGCCAAAAACTAGAGAACGTTACCTATACGCAACCACCGACCGAACGACAGAACATCGCCGCCGGTCACTGTCATCGCTTAACCAGCCGATTGGATATTATAATATTACTATACTACCGTAAACAAAAATAATCCTTAAACGACACACAAATCGGAATCTGAAATACAAACAAACACCTCCAACCCGATATGGGCACGCTGTAAAATAATATCGAAATAGATAATTGTCTGAACGAGAAAACGCGCAAATTTCGTGTATTGTTATCTATCCGTAGAGAATATTACAACATTATTATTCTAATTCTTTCTCAAAAAAAAAAAAACAACATTATACGATAATAATTGTTAGCGTACCCACCGGCCACCACATTAATATATTATGACTTTCTTAGTGTCCACGATTTGTATGTACATAACAATGTTATCGTTGCGTGGTTTCACATGTTCAACTTCTCACCCGTCGTCATTAGCCCTCCAAAATAAAAAGAATAAAATCCCTAATATTCCTACCAGCCACCATAGACATAATAAATTTTCCTAAAAACACAAAAAAAAATGTTTATACATCCGTTTTACCCAATAGATTATACACTTAATGATCGTCGTTTATCGTTCAGGTGCCACCCATAGAGATATTATAAAAACAAACCTCGTCTTATTGTGGTGCGTATTATTAAAATATAATCATTCAGTGCCATAGCCAGGGGGACTGAGTGCGCGGAAAACCACCCTGAGATTCCAGGAAAATTGAATAACGCTTATCCAAAAATAATACGTAACCATGTATAAAAATTGTAATTTTTATAAAGGTTAATGTGAATGTCTAAAATGTCATATACCCATGGCATCAGCGTCCCAAACATAATAATATGAGGGACCCCAGTTAAGCCTCCTCAAAACAAATTATCAGCCCTACCTCCTAAGTAAAATCCTGGCTGATCCTTCGTATAATAATAATATTATGATATATTGTACTTAAGAGCGAGTGAAATTATTGTCGATACCGAACAAAAAAAAAAATAACAATGCAATTACAAAACGTCTTATAATATACACCGATGTCTTCTCCGCGTTATTATTATATTGGTAGAATATTGCCGATAATAATATTATATAATATGTTGCCTATATATCATCGCCCTATCGGGTAATATATTATACATAGGTAGGTACACTCATCTTTTTATCGTTTTATTTTTTCTTCTCTCCTTCTCTTAACAGAAATTATAGACCTACTTATAATAAAAATTAAAAAATAATAATATTACATTAATACATACATTATAATATATTATATATAAATTATAATATTATCTTCGTTAACCCTCCCGCGGGTGTTGTTCTAAACTAAGCCACTGTTATTCGCTTCATGTAAACATTATTTAGTTTTAATACACCTACCTACCCTATACCTAGTTCAGAAAATAATACCATTGTATTATTAATATTATTATTACTAAATATATATATAATTATATTAAGTTCTCTGTGTAAATACTATTTTACCACCATTATTATTATTATTATTATTATTATTATTATCATCATTACGTTTTGTTTGATCGGATAGATTTAACACGTTATTATAAAATAGTCTTCGTTATTTAATTGTAATAATATTGTTATCCTCGGAAAGACCGGAGAGGTGCGTTTATTAATGAATCATTTAAACAAAAATTATATTATCTTTACAAAAAAAAAAATACCTCATTCATACCTCATTCCTAGTCAATCGTAATAACAGATAACGATAATATATTATATCTTAGAAAAAACGTTTATATCGACTTTTTTAATAGACGCATGTTTCTTGTCTATCTCGTTTATACTTATTCTCTAAATTATAATTTATAAAAAAAAAATGAAAACAATAATAACAATAACACAACATATTTTAGTCAAACAAAATATACCTATATTATATTCGTAAAAAAATGTACTGTTTATCTTGTTATTGTTACTTATTTATGTAAAATATTGTATTATATTCGAATAATATTATTAGGTACTTAATTAATATTATATATTAAAAACGAAATAAATGCGTAAGTCTATATTATATAAAAGAATAAAAGCGTAGATCGGGAATAAGATACGTTTCGGTCGGAAGGCCCGAGTTTTTGTCTATCATTAAAATATTATTATACTGTGCTCGCATTTCCTCTTATTTTCATATTGGTAGAAAATAATATTATATTTTAGAGGGATAGGTATACTATACAACAATAATAATATTATCGGTGCCAGGTGCCTGCCTATTTTAAAAGGACACCTAACGTGTTATAACTTTCTTTATGATTTTTTTCTCTAAAAAACGTGAAATATTTATTATATTATAATAAAATGCCCACTATGATCAGTATATTATATTATATAGGTGTTCGCCAAACGAGACTTTGGCCAGCCAAAAATACGTTTTCATCGCTTTGAAAGTGTTTCTATTATAATATACTAAAATATTATATACCATAATATATATTATTATGCATGAATACACTATATATATTATATAAATCAAAAAAAAGCCTAAAGTTCGAGCGCGAACATATTCAAACCAATGTTACGTTTTTACATTGCCTACCTTTGTTGAAGTGAAAACGAAAGTCGTTCGTGTCATTTTTTAACGATATATAATACATATTATTATTATGAAAAGCGATGTAATTTTGTAATTTTGTGGGAACGATATAAGTCATATAAGTTATAACAAACAGAAATACAAAAAATAATAATAATATCATGTTGCGTAAAATGCATTAGGTACATAATAAAATATAAGAAACGTACTAACAAAATATAATAATTGTGTTCCTGCGGTTATGCCGAAACGTCTGTATTGATAATGCAATATTGGTTAAAAATATTGTTCGTTATTTTGTAACAATTGATTATAATTTTTTTTTCATAAGCTATCCCAAAATCATGTTGTATTTTTTGGTTTAAATATTTAAAAAATCATAAAAAAATGTATAATATATTAATATACTATACTGTAATGTTGGATAAATATATATGTTAAATAGCGCATTAGAACTACACTAATAAATATAAATAAATACCTACATAATAAACATGTAAATTATAAACCTATAGTATGTATAATTACATATTTGTTTATCCTTATAATATTACTCATCGGTTTACATGCCGTACAGAGTATATAATAATTATATGTTATGCGTACATATTACAAAGGAGTATACACAAAGGATGATCTGTGGGTGTTTAACTTTAAACACTCTATCCATTTCGACCTGATTTGAATTAGAAATTGTGTGATGTATACATTATGTGTTTTATATTTGTTTATAAAGTCTTGTGATTTAAAAAAATCTCACCACTAAAAAAAAATAACCCCCCCCCCAAGTGAGCCACCGATATTTATCAAAATTAAGTACAGCTGTTTATCTAAATGAATGTAAAATGATGAATGAATAATGTAAATAAACAATAATGACAAATATAAAAGTAGAAAAGTCGCTGTGAAAATACCAAAAACAAGTGCTAAAATTGATGTATTTGATAAAATATATCACCGTCTTTCGACTGGTTAAATTATATAGCTAATTGTGTAAAACATTAATAGACACGATAACGTTATCGGTAAATGTGTATTTTGATCTGCATATACTATTATAGGACATATAGGTATAACTACACTTTAACTGAGATTTGAAATATTGTTAATATTTAAGATTAGTACCAGTATTTCTGGAGTATTGATCACGCTAAAAATCGGTGTAACTTACACTACTGATACAAATGAGTTGTTTATTAAATATAAATGTTGAAAATAACATAATATTGTTTTAAATACTCCGCGCAAACATAAATTATTGCCCGGCGTATAGTATATGCAAAATAGCTACACTCACAACTGCAAGGATACAGTCACCAAATTTTGCCCAAGGCTAATAGTAGCAGGAGTAGAACTCCGATTATCCAGACTAATTAATGTCAAGGGTGGTCCGGATAAGCAAATATCCGGGTGATTGACGTACGATATATCAAAAGTTCTATAATTGTGAGAATATATTGTATGTATGTATTTATTATTCATATAGATGTAATATAATTTAAAATTCGTAACTTTAAACGAATAATTTTATTATATATTTAACTGAAACAAAATAAGCCGTAATTACTGGTGTTCGATTCTTCTTGCCTCTCAAGCTACATATTTAAACGCCGAATCCAATGCGTCAAAAGCTCCAGAATTTTTTATGTACCTACGTCGGAATGACGGATATTATTACGAATCATATATACCTATTCTTTATCTAATCTAAAAACGATTATGACACAAGTGTATGAATAACGGCACGTGCCTTTTTTTTTCTCGTCCGGTTAATTGGACGTCCGGATGATTGGCGTTCGGATAATCGGAGTTCTATACTGTAAAATACTATCCATTATACTATTTATACTAAACAATTTAACGTCTATGGTCCTATATAAGAACTTATACAACATAGGTAATGAATAGAGCAAGGACTTTCATGCATTTGCATGTTTTTTATGGTTTAGTTAAACATATGCAGAGTAAGTACACAATACCTTTCACAACGTTTGTGACCAAAAGCTAAAAGTTTTTAGTGCATATTTTTGCATATTTGGACATTTTTTGGTTTAAGGACCATATTTTTGATTATAAGAGCATATTTTAAGCTTTTAGTGCATATTTTTATAGTTTATCGAAAATCAAGCTTTTTGGTGAACATTTTTCAAGAACTAAGGTCAACAATTGTTATAAACTCATAAAGACGATAAAGTTAAATGTTATCTTGAAATAATAATAATGGTCGGTAAATACCTTTTTTGTTTTATTATGTGCAGAATAAATGAAGAAATGGGATCCAACATTCAAAACAGATTCCAAATGAATTTAATAATATAAATATAGTTGAAACTTATATAGAATAATAATAAAATTAATTTTTTTAAGGGCATGTTTAACCGCATAGTCTTAATTTTTTGATGCATAAGTGCATATTTTTAAATGCATATTTGATGATTTTTTAGTGCATGAATTCTTGCTCTAGTAATGAATAATGACAAGGCAACCTGAATTCTCACATAAAACAATAAACCATAGAATTACTCTATGCAATAAACCAGTAAGTATGTATTTTACTAACGTATTTGCTGTGTGCCGTGTGGTAATATCACTGAGGTTAAGTCAGACAAAGACGAAAAGTCAAGCAAAAAGTGTGAGTGTAGTTAAAAATTAAAAAGTAAATTTGAGTATTGCGTAAGAAAAATACGGTAACAATTGCCAAAGGGAAAAATCGCTTTTAAAAAGCGAAGTACGCAACGGAAGAAGATAAAAATCGTAAATCAGGTTTTGAACCTCCTGATTGGGAAAAATGGAAGAGATCCATATGCATAATTACACATCATATCTACATATTATGGGAGAACATAACGAAAGATTCTCAAAATCAAGCTATAATACTGCATTAAGACGAACAAGAATTACAGAATGTATTTTTTAGAATACCTGAGCATGGATTGTACCAGAAAGAACAACAGCATTCTAACATAACAATATAACATACATCTGTTGGATCAGCATTTCATACCAAAGGTGAACCCAGTTTATGAACTACGCGTTTTCAGAAAATTAAAGCAATAAGATAATGACATTTTATATCCTAGACTTACGACTAGTGTGATTTTGCCGATTCCGATAGCGAAATGTGTTACCAGATCATAGAACACTGCATATCTGATGAGCAGAACTAATCTTTAGAGGAAGATTTAGGACTTGGTTACCTTAAACGAAAAATATAGACACAAAAGATGAGGAGAAGACTTACCTAAGAAAGAAAGAATATGATACAAAGAACAAAAACATTAGTGCAACAAATAGTGACTAAGCCATGCAGTTAAAGAACACGGGCTGTAAGTCGGGGACCCTATACAGTATACATCTGTACTAATAAGACAGAATATTATAAATAAATATTCAGCAAAATTCAACCCAGAACCTCTGAAGGTAGTAGAAGTCAAAGGAACGATGATCACTGGAAAAATAGATGACCAAGCGCAGGTGACTAGGAACATAACCGTGGATATGATACAAGATGGCTCTGTAATGAATAATAATAACAAGATAAACCTAAATGTTCATATAAAGTATGATTTTGGCTAACATTAAAGTAATATTACAATACTCAGAAGATTTATGACCAAATACCGGTACAAGTTGGCTTCTAACAGTTAAGTAGGATTTAAACCAGGAGACCAAAGGCTTCCACATAATTAGTAATTTAGTCGAGGACATCAACTTGACACAAAATGATCTAATGAATCAAAAATTTTTGAAATATCTGCGAATGTATCAGCCTGACTCCAATGTTAATTAAACCTGTCCCTGATGAATGAGGAAATGTCTTTTCCACTAGGAACAGTCAAACAGCCACCATAAAACCCACGTTGACTCAGCAATAAAAGTAAGTTAAATATACGCTCAAAACATATGTGGTAACTTATAGTTGATTACTTTATTAATCCAAATGTAATAATTCCTTTCAAAGAAAATTGAATAGTAAAAATAAAACAATCTAGGATTTTTAATTAATTAAAATATATTTACATGACAAAAAATACAATAACACAATTTATATTGAAGGAATATACTACTTTGTAAATACTTAAAAATATTTTGTTTAGACTTTAGCTACTTTTTCATCATCAGATGAATCACTGGAATCTTCACTATGAACATTT